GGGGGGGGGGGGGACCTGTGGATTCGAGGAGGGGAGTTTGGAGGAGTTAGAAGGTGAGTCAGAGGAGGGGTAGCGCGGTGGCGTGCCTATTATAAACTAGTATTAGTTTTTCTTCCCATATTAATAGTTGTCGGTATTGCCACTTGGTGTTTCCTTGAATGGGTTGACATATCTTTCTTAGGTCTATGTTGTCTAGTTCTTTAAATGTACCCATTGCTTGATTGCACACACTCTTACATATAGCTTGCTCTCGTGTCTTTTTTGTTTTACAAGTTGCTTCGTCTTTTGACCTTTATTTCACTCGTGTTTTGGGCGTAGTGAGTCTTAGCCCATTGTTTTTAGGGGTTTTGAATGCAGTCTTATACTAAGAGCTTTTTAGATCAATCAAGATGAAAATTAAAACTTTACCTAATCTAATTATCGGATTCCTAAATTCCCCGGTATTCCTTAGAAGCAAGAGGTCTTAGAAAAAATTACTCGCGGTATTTGTTGAATCAATCAACATGTTTTGACGTTTTGGGCTTTGTGCATCTTTAGTTACAACTAGAAAGTCTTGTTTCAACAAAACAAATACAAATATTGCCAAATGACTCAAAAGAGAATATGATCAGCTTATTATTACTCTTGTCAACAAGTATGATTCAGTAAAACTAATGCTTGCCCGGTAAGTGCTTAACATTAGGAGTCAACACTATTTTTTATTTTATTGGGTAAGATTGTAGTACATCAAAACGTATCTTATGCAACAATTTACCTGGTAAGCGCTTATCCGGGTAGGAGTCGTCACCCTCACTTACCGGGTAAGACTCTCCATCCTTATCGTCGCTCTTACCGGGTAGATTCTTGGCCCTTGCCATGTTTATTCGATGGGGAAAATTACCCGGTAAGTATTTAGCAAACAACTCTATTAAATCTATGTAAAACCCTTTTTAACACAGGAGCAACTGGAATTGATACGTCTATGAGAGCATAAGAGGCTTTGATTAACTGCTGAATCAAGAAAACAATCATAGTTCTTCATGATTTTTCTTAAGTAAAACTATTTCAACAGTAAATATCTAAAAACCATTCCAAGATGATCAAGTACAAAATATGCAATAAAAATTTAAATATAATATATTAAAAGAATAATATTTAGTTTTTTTTTAATAATAAAAAAACAAAAACAATGATGGGGTGAGAGAGGCTCGAACTCTCGACCTCAGGATCACTCGCTATGCTATGAGACCTACGCGCTAGCCAACTGCGCCACCACCCCTTTTGTTTCTGTAATCCACTTGTATCTATTAGACAATTGTTGTAACTCATTATCCAATAAAAAAACATATTTTATACTTATAACACTAATCATCATTATTTCATTTAATCAATTTGTCAACACTTTCTTAACTTTAAAGAACCAATAAAAAATGGTTGATCCATTGAATTGTTCTTACAAGTGAATATTATATTTGATTGAACAAATAATGAGAGTATAAGGACCTATTTATAGGGAAGGTATTTACAAAAAGGTACACTACACAATATAATAATGTAAGTAAAGTATAGGGCCTAAGACGAAGGATCGTGCGAAAAAGAGAGTTAAGGTGATAAGCGTAAGAACGGATGTGAACTCTGAATCACCTTTAATCTCAAACCCACTCATGAATCGATCGCGCTGGATATGAGGATTGATCCGGTGCATCTCATCCTAATGTGTATGTATTCAAGGGTAGAGATCTCTTCTTACGCTTCTCATCTTAACTCTCTTTTTCATCGGAACCCAACCCTAGGGCCTAATAGGCTACTAGAAGCTAAGGAGGTGGAACGACTTGTAAACAAGAAGTTGGCAATTGTTTGGTGATGAAGATGTCAGCAATTTGATAATTGGTGGATATGAAGTTGACTTGGAGCTATATTTTCATAGACAAAGTGGAAGTCAACATCCTGACATGCTTTGTGTGGGAATGGAAGAGTCGAGTACTTGGCTTGACTCCATTCCAGCTATTTATTGGCAACAGCAAAGGATGTTGGTTTGTTGATGGAAGTGGTGGTGGTGTGATGAGCCAAGGGATCATAGGGGGTTCATTGTGGTGTAGTGTGATAGGCCAAGTGACCGTAGGGGGTTCACTGTGGTGTAGTTTGATAGGCCAAGTGACCATAGGGGGTTCATTGTGGCGTAGTGTGATAGGCCAAGTGACCATAGGTGGTTCATTGTGGTGTGGTGTGATAGGCCAA